TCTAAACCGCTTGATACCCCTATGCCATTAGATAATTGATGTGAATGTAGCAAAATATTTTAGATCAACCGGTATCAAATTTACAGAATCTAAACTAAATAAATTGTCACGTTAAAACATCCGATTCTCCTACGATCACTGACGTTAAGCAACAGCGTACTTGGTCAATACCTATGTGAGTGACTACTTAGGAATACCAGGTGTTGTAAGCTGGGATATGCGGTTGATAATGTCCCAAAATAGGAAATCGGAGAGCTGTGTTCCAATTCTAGTCGGGTTCGTTGCATTCACTTACTCGCAAATACCCTCGGGTAAGGTATCCAAGAATAGAATCTTCTCCCTCAGCTATGAGTTAATTAGTAAGATTTGTTTTAGTAAATCATTATTATCTCCTAAAATTTCTACAATCTAAAACTATTTCCTGGCTTTAAGTAACCCGCGAAGGGTTGATAAAACGTTAAAAACAAATCAATCAATCTGGCTCTAAAATATTATAGGAAGTCCAAAATCAAATTATGTTTAAGTTAACGCTGTATGCTTTTAAAATAATATATTATATATGAATGTGAGTGTGCGTGAATGAATGTGTGTGTGTGTGTGTGAATGTATATATGAATGTGAGTGTGCGTGAATGAATGTGTGTGTGTGTGTGTGTGTGTGAATGTATATATGAATGTGAGTGTGCGTGAATGAATGTGTGTGTGTGTGTGTGTGAATGTATATATGAATGTATGTGTGCGTGAATGAATGTGTGTGTGTGTGTGAATGTATATATGAATGTATGTGTGCGTGAATGAATGTGTGTGTGTGTGTGTGTGAATGTATATATGAATGTATGTGTGCGTGAATGAATGTGTGTGTGTGTGTGTGTGAATGTATATATGAATGTATGTGTGCGTGAATGAATGTGTGTGTGTGTGTGTGTGTGAATGTATATATGAATGTATGTGTGCGTGAATGAATGTGTGTGTGTGTGTGTGAATGTATATATGAATGTATGTGTGCGTGAATGAATGTGTGTGTGTGTGAATGTATATATGTATGAATGTGTGCGTGAATGAATGTGTGTGTGTGTGTGTGAATGTATATATGAATGTATGTATGCGTGAATGAATGTAAGTATATGCGTAAATGTGTGTACATAAATATATGTATGAATGTGTACGTGAATGAATGTGTGTGTGTGAATGTATGTATAAATGTGTATTTGTGTATAAATGTATGTATGAATATGCGTGTGCGGGAATGAAAGTGTGTGTGTGAATGTATGTATAAATATGTGTGGGTGAATGTGTTTGTGTACGTGAATGATTCTGGACTGTGAATTAGTGTATGAGCATATGTGTGTCAATGTATATATGAGTGTATGTGTGCGTAAATGAATGAGTATTTTTGTGGATGTATGTATGAATGTGTGTGTGAATGTGCTTGAGTGTGTGAATGAATGTGCGCGTGTGAATTAATGTATGCATGTATGTGTGAATGAATGCATGAACGTGTGTATGTGAGAATGTATGTATAAATATGTGTGTGCATGAATGAGTATGAACGTGTGTGTGAATGAACGTGTGTCTGTATGTATGCGAATGTATGTATGACTGTATGTGTGAATGTTTGTGTGCGTGAATGAATGCGGGCGTGTGAATTAATGTTTGAATGTGTGTGACTGAATACATGAATGTGTGTGTGTGAATGAATGTATGAGTGTGTGTGTATATGAATGTATTTGTGAATGCGTTTGTACGCGTGCATGAATTAGCGTCTGTGAATGAATGTATGAATGTCTGTGAATGTATGTATGAATGTGTGTGTGTGTGTGTGTGCGAATGAATTTATGGATGTGTGTGTGTGGATGAATGTATGAATGTGTATGTAAGTGAATGTATGAATGTGTGTGTGTTTGTGAAAGTCTTGTATAAGTAAATCATTATCACCAAAAAATTCTTACGATATAAAACTTTCTGACTTTAAATAACCAGCAAAGGGTTGATAAGCCGTAAAATCAAGAAATTAATAAGACAATCCAAATCAATAATGAGAATCCAAACATCTACATCTCAATATTCCTCTTGATAAAATACAATGTGTAGTTTCATTTTCAATATGTTCTATTTCCTTGTAGTTTAAGTGTACAGCTGCTGCTTCTACCATACATATATTCTTTTCTTCATGAAAAATAACATATTTTTCACTCGTTCACTTTCTCTCTTTTCGCATGTTTAACCTTGTACAGTGTAACCCAGATATAAGAGAGTTGTCTGGACCGGAGAAGAAGTCTCTTATATCTGGGTTTCTCTTATATTCGGGTTTGGTCTATTTTATATACATTAACACAGGCTCTAATTTGGGACCAGAGAAAATCTCTCTTATATCCGAGTTTCTCTTATATCCGGGTTACACTGTAATGATTTGATCTTCTGAAATTTGAATGCAATACCAATGGTTACCTATTGTTTTCTTGGTTCATCTCCTTTTATTGTTCTCACTCCTTAACAGTGTTGTTATTTTTTATTCTTTCATACTAAGTAACAACATATGTCTTAGTGGCTTTGGTGCCTTGCTTGGGTTGAAATAATTTTTTCATTTGTTCTCTTTTATTAGATTCTCGTGGAGTTTTCACACCATTTACTAGATATCAAGTGCCAACGAGCCTCATGAATACTGCAACACTTTATTCAATATTCTCCATTATCATGTAGTCAACCACAACAACAACGTGGTGAGTTTGCGTTCTACAGGATAGCAGACTGAAGAACTGATTATATACTCACCAATTTTTGAATTTCGCTTGAGGATGAAACAGAGCTTGATACTCTAATTCAATTTAATTTTAATAATTATATCGAAGTTTTTGGCTCCTGTTTTTGAAACATGAGAACTCTTATGTAGTGAAAGACACATATTTTTAAAAAAAATAATTATAACACACACACACACACACACACACACACACACACACGCACACTCATATATATATATATATATATATATATATATATATATATATATATATATACCTTCGATAGTAGTAGCATTATATATATATATATATATATATATATATATATATATATATATATATATATGCTATTGAAAACAATTCCAAGCTCTCCAGTTACGATATATAAAACTGTGTTATACGAATGTACAGGAACATTTTAAATTCCCTCTGACGAATCAAATATTTGTCGCTCTTGATATCATTTTCTTGATCACTAAATCTCTTGTTTGGATTCTGTGATCTCTTAAAATCTCAAAGCCCATCATGGTTTCCATACTTGTTCGTTCAGATACCATTGATTTGTATGGTCAAAATCCCAACCATTTGCACAATTCCATGTGGATCAGTTTTTCAAGTCGGTGTATGTCTCGATATATTCTACATTTACTCTTTTGTTGCGTCATGTTTATGCTGGTCTTATGGAATCATTCTGAGCTGTCATGAATAAAGATTTGGTTTCTCGCTTCAAATTTCCTCTTCGCAACCATCTTATACTTCTTTTTTTGTACGTTGAAATGTCAACGAGTTAGCATTCCTTCTTCCCGGCCTTTTGGCTGGGGGGTTTGACAATTAATGGATCGTTTCTTGGTGGAAGACTGAGATTCGATCAAGCTTTGACTAGCTTGGACTGGCTTCGGCCTGGACCTGTTAGGACAAGTTATGACCAGCTTTGACTAGGCTCTGACCAGCTTGGACAAGCTATGACCAATTTTGACCAGTGGCCTTTTGAGTGGAAACACTCGGGTCTCCCACGTTAATCGACCTTGTGTCATATCTTGATATTGTGGGAATCAAGTAAATACCATTCCTTCTTGATTTTGTTTTCTTTAGTTTTCTGATCATTTATTTGTCCACCTCCTGTCACTCATAGCTAGATTCTAACTTTTGACTGTCATAATTAATCTTTCATTACATTAATTTGCATATTTCCGAATTGCTTTGATGGTAGAAGTTGACTCAAGATTCAATAATTTCACACATCCATATTATCGCCATCACCATCATCATCACTACCAGTTCCGGGTCCCAACCAGAGACTTAAAGTTAGAAATGGCTTCATGACATTTTCCACTGATCATTTATGTAAAAACAACAACCTAAGTTTACACACATTTTTCATAGATAAAGCTCTTCATAATATGTGGGCAGTACTTGTGAGTACATTTTTAAATTCTGTTTTTAAGGTATGGACTCCCAGGAATCCCTTCACTGAGTCTATCGGGACCTTTTCCAATCAATCCGAGTACTCCAACTACAACTGGAATTATTGATGTCCTCATGTGCCACATTTTTTTTAGATTTCCACCTCAATATCCTTGTATCTTGATAGTTTTTGCAACAAATCTCAGTACTCCAGTACTGAGATTTGCTATAATACTAATATTCTAACAAATCTTAGTACTGATGTTATCTGGAAAAACAAAATTTACTGTCAGTCATTTTTCTTTTTGTTCATAATAATTAAATTCGATCATCTCTATCCTGTATTTGGATTTGAAATTTCATGATTTTATTCTCTAATGCAAATCCTCGTTTGTCCACATGTCCTTGATTTACATGCTTAAGACGTTTGCACAGTTCTTAGTGAATCCCTATTCTTACCCAGTCAAGCCTACTTAGTATATTTCTAGCCTTCATGTCTGCATTATCATTATTATTGTTGTTGTTTTTGTGGGTTATTTAATTCATTTTGTTGTCACATGAAAAGTTATGGAAAAAGCTTTTCTAAGCACGTCAGCAGTACTCATCTTTTGAATTTCAGATGAAGATGGATATCCAGGGATTTTCTTCTTTTTTTTTTTGTTAGTTTTCTTTATGATTATTCCTGGTTATTTTATTAGTATAAAACAACTTCTGTGCTTAAATACCACATTTTTTTTCGATTTCTATTTCCAGATACGTATATTTGTAGAGTTTATCAAATTCTTTTGCAGAAATGTTTTTATCAACGACGTGACACGTCTTTCAGACAGCATTTGTTTTATTTTTTTTAAAACTT